TTGAACACATCGCGAGTTCGCATCGACAGAAAACGAGCTAGCTCGAAGGTAAACCGTCTCCGAATCCTGTTAGTATGAAAAGCTTTCAGGCGAACTAAGGCCCTCTCGTCGTCAAAATTTTCCCGGCAAAAAGCTTCGTGCGCCAAGTGGTTGGCGTACATACGTGCGGAGTGGTGCCAGCATGAACGGAACGAACTTCTACTAGAGTCTTCAAAAATGGACACGAACTCACAACAATCGCTGCTGCTGCTGCTGCCCCATGGAGCGTGTCGAGGCTCTGCGTGTTGCACAGCCGACGATGAAATATTTCTTGTACACCGTCCGTAGCCAGGGCGGACTTTCGCGGTGAAAGAGTCTCCGCGAGAGTTCCGGCAACTTCTTGTTTCAACGTACTGCGACAAGTAATCTAATGTTTGTCGGAGATGAGGAAATAAACAAATAAAAATAATTGCCGATGCCTACAGCAGTATGCGTGCAGCAGCTCCATCGATAGAATCATGTACGTGTGTATGCATACATACATACATAGATGCGGTAGGTGTTGGTGGAGATGCATGCATCGAGGGCGTCGTCAGCGGTAGTCTATATAGTACTCTAGATACAAGAAGAGCTGTGTTGCACCTACCCTATTCTTTTCGAATGAGAAGTTTATGTAACCACGCCAAGAGAGATGGTATATTGATTGGTTGCGGCATACAGCATCGTACGAAGAAAGAGGTACGCATATCTAGACTATTTTGCTGTCCAGTACATATGCAACCATGCCGGTTTGAACTTGTTGTATGCATACGGAGGAAGAACACAGACGAACGGGAACAATAAGCCTGTCACGAGGTGATGCTTGCTGTGCGTACATTGCGTGCTTGTCCGTGGCGCAGTCCTCCCTTGAAGAGCACCAAACCGGACGTCATCAGCTGACGCCACGGAAATATTTTCTCGAAAAGGGGCAGGTGTTGTTGCACACAGCCGTCACGTTCTTCATTCTACGATGTAATTTCCTCTCACCATCCTGGAGCCCCTGGGCATTGATCAACCATCTTCAATCATCCCCTCTCGCACGACAATGACATGCCACGAGCAACAGCGTGCTACGCTTTGGTCTCACGATTACCGGGTCACCCAGGATCCGATCTCACGCCTCACGAAGCAATCGGCTCAACCAACTGATGATGACCATCATTCCCTCTTTTTCCCCTGCGTCTCTGTCTCACCTCGCTCCACCCCCTAGCATCCATGTCCGGTTTCTTTCGTTTTCGGAGCAGGTCGAAGTCAGCGTCGGCCCCGCTGCAGCGGCAAGTAACGAGCACGGACGCCACCGCCGCCAAACCCAGCATCATCTTCATGACGCTGAAATGCCTCCACACTGACGGGTATACGTAAGACTATAGTCGTTGAACGGTCGGGCAGTGGACGACGTGATGATGGATGCGGGTGGGTGCTCAATCTCCTCTTTCCTCCAGCCAAGCGGGCGCAGTCACTGGCGCTGGTGTCCGCACACCTGGAGGCGTGGTGTAGTAGAAAAATGAGAGGGCGGGGTAGTTGTGATGGTGGGACGAAGAGGCAAGAGGGGGAATCTACGTTGGCTGGCAACAGGGGCACACCCGACACACACACCCGCTGCTAGTTGTGATAACACAAATATGAATGAATACAAGCGGTCCAAGATTCAAAAAAAATAAAATACACAACTTGATTGAACTGGTCCGCCAATCTTTTCGTCCGGGCGGTGGGTCACCACACCCTGTGAGCAACTCAGCATGCCTAGGGGCACGACCCACACAGGACAGCTTGACGTACAGCAGTGTGGATGCGTTTATGCGTATTTCAAGCTCAAAGTTCCAGGGTAATGAGTGAACAATAACAATTTCATCGGCCTCCCCAACATCATGTTCATATATAGTCTATCTCGCCTAGTCTACGGTCGTTTTCAAGTTTGAATCACGTGGAAAAAGGGGAAACTCAGCTTGTCTATGCAGCTCTCTTGATGCATGTAAGTACAAGTTGGCAACCTCGCGGCCAGAGCAAAGAACGACAGGGGTCCGTCTAGGTGTGTAGCCCCGCTGGGGGTTTGGCATACCGCGAACACACTACACGTCTCCTTTGTATCTCCACTCAACCCACTTTCTCCCCTCCAGGTATTTTGTTCCGGTTGCTCTCGTGCCACCAGAAAAATCGCACGGTGGTCGATGTCCGGCGAGGCGCCTCTTCTTCTTGTTGAGTCAGCCGGCGGACGGCGGCTCATGCGCTCAAAGATGAACGAAGCACGCACGTATGATAGCACCCACAGAGACCAGCGGACGGTCAGCCGGGGCTCTGTCTGTTGATTGGCATCATCATCATCGCTTTTTGGATACAGCAACACGGACGGACCGCGTACCACGGAGAGAGATGAGACTCGGGGAACAAGTTTACGAATGATGTGGTGGTGCAAGTAGGGTTGTAGTTAGTAGGGAGATTTGGGGAGAACAACAGAAAAACGCGGTGCTGATGTTGGTGGTCGCCTTCGTCCGGTGCTGTCTCGTTTGTCTCCACGTACATAAACCTAAATTCAGTAGTCTACAGTCGTGTGTACAGAGCATTTAATCTCGGAGCGTAGACTACATACAGAGGTTTTCTCGTCGTGTACAAATGTCAGTATATTCTTCTCTACCCCCCCCTTAACGAACTGCATATAATCCTAAGTTAGTACTCGATCGAGCAAAAAGGTTGCTCATTGGGTCTGTAGAAGTGATATTGAGCAGCCTCTGCGTCCACAGCAAGAACCACGAACAGTAACATAAGTGCTGTGAGGCTTTCCTCTTCGACGTTTCGACAGGCTTCTTCCCGTCCTGCTCTTTCGGAAATGGACGGGGAGGCATCAACCAACCGCTAGATAGTGTTTTCTCCGTGACTTTTGGTGAACAACCTCGTTTCATCCAGACCGAGTGTGAGCTACACTTACACGTGCGCGAGCAAAACATCAAGACACATGACCGAACAATTGATTCCTCCGCGAACATACGATACAAGTCACCTTTCGTCTGTAAGAAGAACGATCACGTTTGTTTGTTTCATGCATCGCCTGATCGCCACGTCTCTGCCACTCTCTTGTCATGACACACCTCGCACGTTGTGACGCCGTGTTCTATGAAACCTGCGTCGTTGCGTACCCCCACAGGCACTTTCTCCACCGGGGTCACCTAAACTATATAGGCTCCTCCCTCAAACAAGCACTTCACTAAAGCAGTCTTTGGTCTTGGTACAAAGCCGGTCGGAATAATGCCGGTGAAATCGGCTGGGATCGCACCGGCATCATACCGGGACCGCTACTAGCACTGTACTGCTGGTGTAGCTCGCTCCCAAACACACGTCGCATCGTGGGTGGCAAGGCCCGCAATATGCCATGTTTCGTGCGCTATCTCGGCACCATTTTTCCACCAACCAATTTTTCTTCCTCTCGGTGCAATGCAAGAGGGAGGAGATAGGCAACGAGGTGTGGTCCCTTTTTAAGCTAGCTCAATCCGCACCTGAAGCCAAACAAGAAGACCAACCGATTGTGGACATACTTGTATCTCGACCGACCTGAAAAAAAAAAACGTGGCGAGTAGAAACAGTTACCCTTGTCGACCCTCACAACTACTTCATGGGGGGAGGGGGGAACGAGGGGGAGAGTTGGCAACACCGAACATCACCTTTCGCGTGCCCTGATCCCCTCCCGGAAAAAAAAAAAACGGACCCCAAACGGGAGTTATAAATCCAGTCCTGTGCCACGCAAAACACTTTCAATGCGCATTCCTTGTTTTTTCCTCCTGCGTTAAACATGACACCGATTTCACCGGCACATTACAGTACTAATAGCCTAGTCTCGTCGATAACATAGACAAAAACCAAAACCATGGGTTTGAGAATCTACCTTAGATACATCGCGTGCAAGTGGTGCAGGACGAAGATGACGAAGATGGCCATTCCATTCCCGGCCCCGCCAAATCTCTCTACGGCAGCCCACTGCACCTGCGCTCCTCAATTCAACCCAACTAAGCGATCGGTACTACGCTCGAGGTAGACTGTCTGGTGGGGGCACAGGGAGACGGCCCCCAGTGCAGATTTGCGCTTTCAATTCAACCAACGGGCGTCGCCAGAAGACACCTTTACCTTGTAATACTACCGGGAACAGCCCGACAAAATTCAAACCTTGACCATTAAACAACCCGATCCCCACCCCACCCCCGGTACTCAATTCCCGTCGTCCGGACAGTTTGGCTCTTACATCCATCCATGAATGGCCCACGAATCTCGCTGCGCGTCGTGTTGGATTTCGAGCAGCAGGGCCTGACCCCACCACCCAACTCACACACACACAATCGCTTCGTGTCTTTCCTCCTTCCAAGCCGCATCCGCAGGAAAGGACACGCAGCGGGTGTACCCAACGCCGAATCCGAGCCCCACCCCCATCCTCCGGCCGAGCCGCGCCCCACCAAATGAAACCAAATGATGTTCGGCCGTGGTATGCCGTAGGAGACAGCACAAAAGCTTCCCTACCCCCGGGCCCCCCCTTCCCCGTCCTGGTCCTCTCCGCAGGACCCCCCTGCCCCAGACAAACCCGTAGCTGCCGCCGCCGCCTCAGCAGCAGCCCGCCTTTTTCTTCGAGGCTTGTGCGTTGAGGTTAACGTTACCCGAGGCGCGAGAACCCGGGTTGGGGCCGTCTGCCATGAGCCTGTCCTTCACCTCCCTCGCTATGGTGATGAACCCCTTCTCGACGTTGATATCGTTCTTCGCACTAGTCTCGAAGAACTGTATGCCGTACTCGGCTGCCAGCTGCGCCCCTTCCTCCCTGCTCACCTGCACCAATGAAAAGGTCGGGGTAACGGAATTCATGGAAGGCAGGGGAAACAGAGTCCACAGGAGCACGCGTTCAGACAACCACGCCTTGCACCGAGCCAAAGCCGAAAGGTCGTATCACGCGAGCACGGTACAGCCCGCAGTCGCCTCCCGCGTGCAGTGCGCTTGAAATGACGACAGCTTGTGGGACTTGACGCTCATCAGCACGTAAGGGCCACGACTGCTATCATTGTGCTCTCCAGCACGAACACGCGAAACCCTCGCCAACACAAACAGCACGTATGACGTTTGCTTTGTCGAACAATCACAGACCCAACCCACGAACGTATTTTACGATCGGCAGTGCAGGTGAAAAAAGAACCTGCTACAAACCAATAGGACAGTAAGCACCCGAGAAGTAACAGGACAACTACACATACGCAACACCGCACGGCAAATAAACGCGTGCATACGAAAACTGGACATGGCACGGCATGACTCATTTCAAGGTGGTGGCTTTCAGAATTTTTTCGAGAAAAGAATCATCCTCAACCGGCTTATTCGGTGCTTCTAATAAGAGAGAGGGTGGTATATTGTCGATGGAGATACGAGTGTGGCAATCGGGGTACTGCTAAAGCATCAGTCGCGGCACCACATCGGAGACGTCGGGCCTCACCTCCCGGTCCTCATCCATGTCGCACTTGTTGCCGATCAAAATCTTGTTTACGGCAACGTCCGCATGCTGCGGGAGAGGAATCGCAGAGTAACGGCAGGGAGGCGGAAAGGAACGCACAAGCCGCAAACTTTAGGAGTTGTGCGCCAAGAAGCCGAAAACAGGCCGCGGAACGAGCGTTGGTCACAGACGACGGTAGATGGTGGCGAAAGTCAACAACCAACAGGCAGCAGCAGCGTGTGCGATGCCAAAACCTGAGAAAGAAAAATACGAAAGTTGGCGCTCCGGTTCCGCTGCCCCATGTCGCCGCGCACCCCCCCCGCCGTAGATACCGAACCCCCGTTCAATCACGCAGGGCCACGCCACGAGATATGAGGGTTCTTGTCCGGTATAGCCCTAGCCCCCTCGACTAATCGTATCCTGCACGCACAGCTCACCCCGTCTGACTCCCGCCCAGTCATCCCGATCCCACTTCCCAATACGGTTTGCAAACGCCGTACGGTGCCCTCCGCGCCTGACGACGTGCCCGTTGTGTTTGCGTTTTCATCCCGCTGTTCGACTGCCGTACACATTCAATGGTCAGCCGGCTACGATGCTAATCCAAAAGCAATACACATACCGCCGTGGCATGCCACACGTCCCACGTGATGAGTCTTTAACATCTGCTGTGCCCGTCCTTCCTTGACGGTGTCATCCACGACAACCACGCCGGCAGAGCGCACAGCAACCCTGCCCACGCCCGCACACACCACCGCGCACTCGTACGGTTTCGGACAGCTCTGTACAATCTGAGTGCGCTGGGGTGGGCCCATAAAAACGGTCAGGGCACGCTCCAAGCGCACAACACTGGAAAGGTACGCCAGTCACCAACCAAACATTTACCTCCGCGGCTCCACCTCCCAAGCACACACCACCCGCCACAAGCCACGTTATTCCACATTGCACCAAGTCTCCCACGGTCTTTCTTTAAAAGGAAACCCTCACCAAGGGTTGCACGGTTCTTTCCAATGAAACCCTCACCTGCTGGATTTGCGCGACCCAGTTCCGGATGGAGCTGAAGGACTTCTTGTCCGTCACGTCGTAAACCAGAAGGATTCCTTGTGCACCTCTGAAGTAGGAAGTGGTGATGGTGCGAAAGCGCTCCTGCCCCGCCGTGTCCCAGATTTGCAGCTTGATTCGCTTCGAGTCTCTGGGTGGCGTGAGTGACAGAGAGAGAGAAGAGAGAGAAGAGAGAGAGAGAGAGAGAGAGAGAGAGAAGAGAGAGAGAGAGAGAGAGA